CCTACTAACATAGGCGTGATGCTGAGCCGAGTGGTGGCGAAGCTACCTACCACCAAAGTTGGATCTACTTCTTTCCTCCTACTCATTTATCGCACTGTTTTGCAGACCCAATCTCATGTCCACGCTTCACATACCGTGTGTCAGGTAATTCGTACTCCAACGATCGCGGTGTTGTCCTTGTCACGATTGTGCTGTATCGAGGATGAGCGCCCCCTTTGCGATTGAATAACGGACTGTTGTCAGGTGTGTGTTGTTCGTCTCAATTACATAGTCCTGATCAAACGCATCTGATCGAATCGTCCCGCCATAACTGGTGCAGCGTTCGCCAAATGGATACCGTCGTTTTCAGCGGCTATTTCAGTGGGATCCTTGGAGAAATTAAAAAAAATTCCAAGGGGTCCCACATGCTATCCTAGGTGACTATACAGAAGACAAGCGGCTTTTTCCAACTTGAGTCGGTGTAAAGCGATTACTTCTTTTGGAGAACAACTATCCCCCCTCAACATACGACGATGAACCTGGTGATTATTCACCCGATGTTCCCACCTGACATGGGCAATGCTTCATAGACATCGGTTGTCGAACACAAAGTCGATTAGCATCCTACGCTAGGGCGCCACAGTTTTTTCATTCACTAATAATGTCCTGTGTATGCAGACGTAAATGAATCTCATGATGCGCAACGTTTTACCAGTTATTTCTTTTTTTTCCCGATCACAAGAACCAAAACTTTTGAGTCGCATTGCATTCCCCGTTATTCGTTCTCTCGTCCCTTCTCAATTTTCTGAAACCCAAATTCCCTTCATTTTCTCAGTTGACATTACACAATCTGAATTAGTGGTCAGTTTGTCTTGGGAGAACAAGGATGTGTTCTTCTCGGTCTGTGCGTTGTCTGCACTCATTCAAACATTACGCGATCCTGCTCTGCGTAGTCAATACGGGAACATCGTCCGTACCATTGTCTATGTATTAAAGCTTCTCGGTCCTCGGTCTGTCTACTATCTGCGACAGTTAATGCCGGATTACTTCAAGTGTCTGCGGGAAACGCGTGACGTTCGGGTACGTGAATGTAAATATGTAAGAAATTCTCGCTCGGAGCTTGAACTTGTAATTTCGTATATATTTGTCTTCACACATGCTATCAACGTTTTTTCCTTACGATAGTCGACCATGTACTCAAAATATGGAGTCTGTAGTTGTTGTGCAAGCATCTTATTATCATAACATCCTCTTTTATAACCTATTTCTTGAGGTTAAACTGTCTAATTTCTTTATTACATCAGCTTCAAGAATTCCTTATACGCAAATTGGGCTCGATAATGTCCGTGGTACGTTTGCATACAAAGGAATTCGCCCACGAAGTTATCGATTTGCTTATCGCTCACTGGTGGCTTGCACCCAATGTGCAAAATGCATGCATCACAGTGCTCAGTCCCATGGCAGCTGCACTCGGCGCGGAATTTCGACCTTATCTCACCCGGCTGATCCCGGTGATTCTTCGCACGTTGCATCATGAATCAAATGAGACCAATCTGATTGCGGTATGTGTAAAACCATTATATTCGTTGAACCTTGTGCATGGCATGTTAGAGCGAAGTGATATATGTAACGTATTCTTTAGCAGTTTTTGTTAACCTCTTTGAGTTGTTGATGACGACTGACTTCTTTATTGTATTGAAATATGTGCTAAGCTTGTAACGAACGAAACATCAGTTTAGCGGCGTTCTGTTCAACTCTTATGGCCCTCCGATTGGACGCAAACTCTCGTGATTTCAGGGATATTTGAAAACTGCCGGCTTTTTAGGTTTTCAACGTTACGTTTCCTCAAATATCTTGATGACTAAATACACATATTTTCTTCAATTTTTTCAGTTATAGGATTCGGTGATCTCAAATCATCCTTTCATACTTGCTTTTCTTTATATCACTTGTTTTAGCTTCTTGAAGTGCTACCCGAATTTGGCTACACATTAGAAGACCACGCCCATATTCTTGTCCCAGCCATTGCGAAATTAATTGATGTCACCAGCGAAACAAGCCTATCAATCCTGCTCAACACATCGTTGGAAAGTTCCTCGAATACACAACCACAAACGCCCGCTAATGCGGAACCAGTGGCACCATCCCAGGACTCCGATGACTTAGACGTTTCTGTAACCCGAGACTTCATGGATCTCACTTTGGATGTGATCAACGCCGGCCATGCAGCTTTGGGTGATTCCGGAGTAACAAGCAGTACGCTGATTGACGGTCAGTCTAATTTGCCAACAATGACGACTACCACAGCCTCTTTTGGTAGTGACGGTGTCGTTGGAAGTGTGCAGTTACGACGTAATTGCCTCGAATGTCTGGCTCGATTCACTGATCGCATTGATTTGGATGATTTAGCTGGTCAAATCGTGCATCCAATTTGTCGTCTATTGCTCAAACTTGACGCATGTCATCAACAATTTCAATATCTCACACAGCATCATCATCATGTTAGCTCTGGATCATCTTCTTCATCTGGCATCAAATCAGCTGCCATCGCTGGTACTGAAGCTTGTGTCAAGGCGATCAACACGTTGCATCCAGCCGCTGTCGATGTGCTTACTGGCTTACTATTACGGATGGGCCAGAAATTTAAACTACTCCTTCCAGTTGTGCAAAAAACACTGAACAAGTTCCGTTTGAGAACCCCCCGATTCTACACAGTTTTGGGTCGAGTGAGTGGTCAAATTGATGCTCAATTCATTCACTTTCTATCCCCTTTCGCTGCCAGCTTTTTGGTATTTTGTGCTCAACTTATATTGTCACTTTGAAAATTCAATACAAGGGCATCCTTTGCGCAATAAGCCGTGGAGTAGCAAATTATATATCATGACATGCTAGGGGCTTTCGTGTAATAGGGAGAAAAACTATGTTTGAGGTATTCGGTGATCTAAAATGGTAGTAATATAAAACCGCAGCTTCTCTCAGATAGATGCGGCTCTCCTCGCAGTTTAAACCCAACTCCATGTACTCATCCGTTGTTTTGATTTATCGTTCAGTTAAACCTGTCACATTCATTTCTGTCTTTTTCCAATGTTTTTCACGACGAGCGTGCCCAGGTGATGGCAACTGATACTGTACACCTTGATTTTCTTTTTTTTGGCTTGCTATTTTGCCGCATTTTGAGCTCCTTATGGTTTGTGTCTGTGTTGCGTTTTCAAAACTTCCGAAGTTCGGTCTTTTACCTCGTATCCGTAGAGTTTGGTGTTGTGGTTCACAACACTTAACCAACAAAATATCTCACATCTTTTGGAAACACCCTAACACTAAACAATTCGAAGCACTCTGATCAAAGTCATGCATTTAATGGAAATCAATATTGGATATAAGTAACACTTCTTGATGAACGCCATTGAGGGTAAAGACCATCATAACGCCCAAATCATGGTTACTGTGCTTCATATCTTTGTAACTTCTGCTGGGTGAAGCTATTTACATGTTTTGGGTACTGTGGACAAGAGGACGCTTCTCTAAATAGGGGAATCCAAAAGTTCCTTATGTCAGTTTTTATTCTGGTCTGATATTTCATATCCGGATATGAGATCCCAGAGCTCTGTTATTCCATTAGTAAAGCTTATCGTGCATTTTGCCACGTGCCCGTTACCAGCTTATTCTTGATGTTCCTTTCAACGCCTGCTTTCATCTCAAGGTTGAGAAAGGTGCCTACTTGCCTACAACTAGTGACCAGGTTTTGGCGGATATCACGAGTATTGCCACACAAAATCGGAACCAACGTCCGGCAGTGCAAGAACCTGATCCGATGGCTTCACTGCGGTTGTTAAGAATGAACGGGTGAGTCGTTCGATATATTGACGCAGGTGCAGTTTTTTAACCCCTCGGATTTGATTTTCATTCGTAATCAACGCACGGCAATTTGAATATGCCAGTGTGATGGGAAAACGTCCCAGTTTAAGGCTAGTATTGTTTCGATTCACTATCGCGATTCAAACGCACACACTGTCTGTTGGATATCATCAGAAGGCTGTATTTAGGTCTCCGTGCATCATTTAACCGTATTTTCTCCTAATATTGGACTGATTTTGCAAATCCCATCGGGTGCGACCATGAGCTTATGACCATTTCCATAAACGTGGACCAATCTTCAGTTATGTCTCACCTGTCTTCACTTACCTTATTTATCTCGTTACAGGTTGAATCTGGAACGAGCCTGGGGTTCGTCACGCATTGTGAGTCGAGATGATTGGGATCAATGGTTGAAGACTTTAACAACGGCCCTACTGCGTGAATCTCCCAGTCCAGCGATTCGGGCATGCAGTCAGCTCACTGCAATTGCTCCAGTCATTGGTCGAACGCTTTTTAACGCGGCGTTTGTGAGTTGTTGGCCAGAACTGACCCCTCCGCAACAAGATAGCTTAATTAGTACGCTTGAATTGGTTCTGCGGGTGCCAGATCAGTCTCCAGATGTCAGTCAGACCATTCTAAATCTGGAAGAATTTATGGCTCACGTGGATAAAGTGAGTTGTCTATGGTATTTTTGCATTGCTACCCCCCCCCTACACGGAATGAGCCTGATCAGAATTCGTATCACATATTGCACAGTATTCAATTTACGCATGTTTGGGTCTCAGAATCTGGCTTAAAATAGGGCCAGTAATGATGTTTGTTCCACCCACCCCACCCCCTCCGTGTTGGTGTTCTTCGAATATCTGAAAGTTATTCCACTTGTGCTGGTGCCCTGATGCGTTCATTACCCCATCATTTTTTACTTCAAATGTTTCGCTGACCTGAGGCAATGAGGAAAGAAATCGGGATCATTCATAGTGTCTGATTCCATTTTAACTGATGTGACAACATTTTCAGTGATGTTTGACCACTCGGAAATAAGCTAAGGCACATTGCGCTTATGTGCCTGACTCTGGGGCGATCGATCGACATCAGCAAGTGTACTCAACATGCATGTCCTGAATGATATGTTTTGTGGTCGATTTTTAACTCCAATAAATCCTTTATTAGTGATTACTTGGAGCGAACCCGAAAATTTTTCGCGCATACTTGAATTTTGAATGCCCCCGTTTTTCTGCACGATTACTCCAAAACAAGAATACCCTAGAGCGACGGAGCATCTCACCATTTTTTTATTGAGGCGATTCTTCCGGGAATTACTCTTCCTTCCTACCGTTTAGTGGTTTGTTTGCCTAACAAGTTATTCCAATCCGCACTAACAATTGTTTTTGTCATAAATACTAAAAGCAGTCCAATTCGTATTTTGTTTAGAGTGCAGCATGCGAATCCTGAGTGATTGTTTCAGTTTCAGTTTTTACAAACATTAACCATGCACTTTCGTGCGCCGGTTTTGGTCGCTGTCCTTTGGTGGGAAAAAGACCAGAATGAAGATTGAAATGTTGAAAGCAAATTCAAGCGGAAAATGGAGAATTCATACTGAGTGGTGTTAGGAGAATGAATGCACGAGGACCACTGTTTGTGACACTCAGTCATATCACTCAGTATCTCTACCCATCGGTGAACATCATCTCGGGGTCCCCTACCAGGGAGCCTAACGGGGCCTATGTGACCTAGTCTCCTGGTTAGGGTTTTCATACCCTCATTCCAGGTTTTCGTTTGAGCAAAGGTTAAATTGGAGGCCATCAGTATTCACGATTCGTATGCGTTTACTCTTGTTACCTCTATTAAGCTGTTCATGCTTCAGATTTTGACAACAGTAATGATCAGTGGATTGTTATAGAAAAATACTGTTATC